GGGGGGGGGGTGGGGGGAGGACGAAACAATTTCAAATGTATTTTCGTTTCCCTGGCAATGACAATACTTTTGTTTTATGATTTATTAATTTTTTTCCAGTGATTCTGTAAGTTCTTGCTGTTGTCGTCTACTGCCAAGCGGTTAAGATTTTTAAAGTATTAAGCATCTCTTGGAGATCAAATGGATACATTAGAAGAGGATGCTCCAAGAACATACGGTTATAATACAGGGTGGGGTGGGGTAGAAAAAACAAAAGACAAAAACAAAATGGCCGTGCAACATGATACATTTAACACAAACAACAGAAAGACGTTTGCTTCTCTCCTCGACTCCATAAGTTCGTAAGGTAACAGAGGCCGGGAAAAAAATAATAGAGAGGTAAAAATAGAGATGATGAAATCAAAATAAAAAGAACAGAAAGAAGTGCAAATTCAAATACAAAATTCTGAGGTAAATCGATACGAGAAACAGAGTTTATTGTTTCGAAACAATCGCAGTCATGGTTTATGATACTGACGTTTGCAAGAAACTTGACGACTTTTCAGAGTTGAAAGTAACGTTAAAAAAACAACAACCCTAGAGCGCAGTAAAAGGGGAGTCCATTATAGCTCAGTCTCCCTGGATGGGCATCTCGTTCAGAGTGTCCACTTTGACCACGGGGTCTTTCTTCACCACGGGAGGGGGTGGGAACACTTCCGGTGGGTCGTTAGCTCCCTCTTTGGCCACCACCTGGGTGATCCCGTTATCAGACGATCTCTTGCGTCTGCGGGCGCTGCCTGCTTTGCTCCACTTGATCTGCACGTCTTTTCCGCTGATGTCGTCAAACTTGCCAGTGAGGAAGAACTCGTAGCGCCCATCGTCCGACAGGCTCTCAATGAGCTCCCGGGCGTTGGAGTACCTCGCCTCCATGTCCGCCCACAGCCACGGGTACTGCATGGTGTCACTCTGATACTTCAGAGCCTCGTAGAAAGGCGTCTTGGGGGAGCCGAACTTGTAGTTGAAGGTGGGCCTGTCTCCGCTGCCTTTGTGCGTGTTGTGGAAGTTGGTGGTGTCGCCGTTGACGCCTCCTCCCCATCGCAAGAAGCCTTGGAGCTCTGTGGAGAATTGAACCACAACCTTAGCGGTGTAGGGCACGGTGCGGCGTGTCTTGGACAGGATCATGGTCCACTTGACGGCTGATTTGGGTTTGACTTTGGTGCTCTGCTTAACAGAGAAGCTCTTCTTTTGCTCAAGACCGTTAGCATCTTCTGTCGAGGAAGTCGACTCGTAATTGAAAGTGAAGCTGGACTCTGCGCTAAAACCGCCTGTTGCGTCGGGCGGGCTGTAGCCCACTGTAATACCAAGTTCTTCCGAGTGTTTCCACTCTGAACTGGTGGTGTGGGTCACGGTGCGGGTCACCTCGGTACCTCGCTCCAGTTCGTGGGTCACGACGTTCGGGGAGTCGTTGGTCAAGATGCCTGTGTCGATAGCCTCGGGCTGCAGCTCCTGGATGATTGGGTCGCCAAAGACCATCTCCTTGATGGCGAACTTCCAGTCCCCGTACTCCATGGACAGCCGGTGATCTGCCTTGTGCCCGGTACAGGGCCCTCTCTTGTCGGCCACCCACTTGTCTCCGTCTCTGCGGAAGTCCTCTCCGACGTACGCCGCGCGACATCCGGCACACCAGCCGTAGCCCAACATGTCAGCCAGTTTGGCTATATCGGACATGGTGTTGTCCATCACCATAACCTTGGCAGCCGACAGGGAGTTGACGACCTGGGGCTGAGGCGCCATCGTGCAGCACTTGAGCGTCTTGAGACAGTGCAGCTCGTTGCAGCCTCCGCGATACATGCCGGTGATGAAGAAGCCGTCGTCACATCTGTGCCAGCCCTCGGTGTCGAACAAGGAGCTAAGGCTCAGGTCGTAGCACTCGCCGTATCTGTAGGGGTGAGAGGCTGGCTTGATGCACCGGCCTTCTGCGATGTCCTGCAGCGTGTTTGTGCCCTTGTCTCTGTAGAGACCTTGCACGAAGTAACCACGAGGACAGGAGTTCCATCGGTTGTTGGCATCGAAACTCTTGGTCCAGTCGGCGTAGTAGACCTGGGAGAAGTCGTACGTGTAGGGGACAGTGCCGTAGCAGCAGCCGACTTGGTCGATCAAGGAGATGCCGTCAGGGGAACCCTTGGCCAGCCGGTGGATGCCTTGCATGTAGGCGTGCTTTGTGTCCTCGCATTTGGCTAAACCTTGTTTGTTGAAAATCCCAGTCCAATACTCGTTGCGACACCAGGCTGCCTGGCTCGAGGCGACGAGAAGCAGGAGCAGACAACACGAGGTGCGGATGTCAACCGCCATTACTGAGGAGGACACAGTCAGACAATATCTTACTCATTACTGTTACTGTTATGTATGTTCGTTTTATATATATATATATGTAGGTGGGTTATTTTTTACACCCCTATCGACACCAAATTAGACCTTTTAGGAGGCATGTTTCCGGTCCTGCCTGATTGTCAGGACCAATCCGTACTGAGGGGGGGGGGGGGGGGAGGGAATACAACATTCCAGCAGAAAGACAGAGCTAGCTTACTCGATACAAATTTCCCCACAGGGGAATCAAACTCGGGTCTTCTGTGTGCGACGCTGAAGCACCTAACCTCTACACCACAGGATGTCGGCTGTCAGGAATCCAGTTCCAGTTCTATTCCAGTTTTACAAAACAAAATGGTACACACAATCGTTCGACATTTTGGGCTGCATATGAGACTGGAAAGAGGTTATGTAAATGTTAAATAACCTTTCATTCTTCAGAAGTTGAATTGCACACACAAACTGAAGCGATTTTCTGGGGTTGCTGCGCATCTAAGATATTAACGTAACAGACTGAGATGCTGAGTGTAACGCTGAAATGAAATATCAGTGAATATATAATACATGTAAATATATAATATACATAAAAACAAATTAAATACAAAAGCTGTCAGACGTCTCAAAATCCCATAAGTTTCCCTTGCATTGATACCATAGTTACTCAACGGCTAGTCATGCAGTCGTGTGTTCTGTGGTTCCTACTGACACAGTATGGCTGGCTTTATCATGTACATTGTATAGTATTAATTTATTAGTTCACAGCAAATCAGGGCACAAGAGTACAAGATCAAATACATCACCTCACAAACAAACCAAAACAAAAAAAATACAAAAGAAACAGGAATGGCAGAGATCCCCAAATTAATGCTCGGACAAAAAATGGATTGGGCTGGTGATATCGATAGAAAGAAGAATAACAGACAGTCAAAAAGACGCCCGATGAATTCAATAAGATAAAGTTCCATCGGAAGAGCACAAAGAATGGGGCAAGATGACGTCTGAGAGAAGACAGTTGGGAACATATTAATAGGGCCTATGCTGTCCCCGTGGTTTTATGCACCCCGCATAATTTAACAAAATTTGATCATTTTTTGCATAATTTCTGACTATTCTCCTTTATCATTCTTTGTTAAAATTAACAGAATCCCATAATTTCACATTTTTGGGCCCAGTGTGCCTAATTTCATAATTTTCCTTGCATAAAACTAAAACGACGGGGACAGCCTATGGATACGGTGAACAGCAGACAGAACAATGGGCGTCATTGTTGAAAGGCTACAGTCTGCGGTGAACGGACAATGTCTTGAAGAAGTCAGACATGTGATAAAATTAAATATTGATAATTAGCTACTTTAGAATTACAAAGTTATATCTGAAAATTTTAGCCGGTTTGAGTCACTGCCAGAAACCAAATTATGTCCTATATTATATTCTGCTCTATTAAAACCGTAATATTATTAGGAGTCGTTATCAAGTTATTCAAAGAATTGCATTCGAAAAAAGCTTGGCATGTTGTGAAACTCTAACTTTTTAAAGTCAACATTTTTAACAAATGGGTTCTGAGCAAATACAACTTTGCAATTCAAGGGTAGCCAAGCGAAGAAGCATGGACCTCCAAGAGTATCAGCTGTGTAGAAAGATGAAACAGATGAAGAGAGTTACCTGATACGCTGGGTCCAACGAGCTGTAGTCAACTGGCTGATGTGCGGGAATGCACAGTCAAAGTAACAGGCCTCCCCGGTTCATATTATATACACACATTTTAACGATCCTTGATTATTCAAAACAGGATCGTGTGTTCCGAAATAAAAACGTGCATGAAAATTCTAAAGGTACCCCATCATTCGCCAGAAAAAGTTGAGCCAATAATTTGTGAATCTCGCAAAACTCACTCACAAAACAGACACTAAACATTTACAAACAAAAGCGGTTGATTTACATACTTAAAGGAGCGCCTGGTCGTTAACAAACTTTCGCTTTATGGCTGAAGAACGTGTTGTTATATTATTGGCTACCGGTTAGCATAAAAGTACATGTGGTATGCTCGATAAACAACATTAAGTTATTTATTATTATATTATACGCCTGTATATTTTCTGAAAACTTGCCGAATAAGCAGTCTGATGTTATTTACTCACTGCATTGATACTCGATAAAAGGCAGTAATTTTTTCTTTAAAAAATTTTAAAAACAAATCCCAAAAAGACAAATGCTTTCACAAAAGACCAAAATTATTGCAGCGAGTTATAAACATTATGCTAGAACAGCAATTCCGTCAGAACAGATGTCACCATCACCAGGTCTGCTTGGCCTGCAGCTTCCATGACGGATTGGAGAAAGGCATATTATTATATATATGGGACGGGGGCGAGACGACCTTATCTTATCAAGCTTGTCTCAGGTAGGGGGGCCGTCTTTGACGACCTTCGAGGAAGGCATATGGGGCCATCTAGAAGAAGTCTACCCGACACAACGACACAGTTTAACCGGTGTGGTTTGAGTTTGAGTTTAAATCTTACTTCAAAATAGTAGATGTACCTCTGCTTTTTTTAGAGAAAAGGTGTTAACGAAACAATTATTTAAAGCTTGTTTGTGGATAATGAGCTTGTGGTTTTGTTTTTGTTTTTGGTGTGGGGGGGGGGGGGTTCGTTGCTGTTGTTGTTGTTTTTCTGTTTTTTTTGTTTGGGGGGGGGGTATCAACGTCGTTATGGCGGCGCGCTTGTATCGCTGCGTAGCTATTATGTTGGATAACGTAGCAAATGGTCCGGGTTCGAATCACTAACTGGGCATCCTCAACCTGGGTTGTTTGGGAGGAGATTTTAAGTCTCTCCGCTCATTTCATTCGGCTCTATCTGAGATAGATATATCAAATTTGGAGATCCCACCTCTTATGCAACCGCAAAAGTGTTGAAAACTTCCACTCGGGAATTGAACGCACATCTATCTTCTGCATACCAAGGCAAAAAGCCTAACTGCTTCACCACAGACACTTGTGGTGGCCTAATATGTAATTATTACATATATATATTAAATGTTTTAATAAATGGGGACTTCAGAGTCCATCACTTCAGTGTTTTCTCTTTTAAACTTAGGTAGGGTTTACGCCCCAGACAAAACTACTTACACCCCCCCCCCCCCCCCCAACCAGGGCAGTGCTGCTGACTGAAGTGTCTTTAGACTTTAGGTCATTCCCAAAGGGGAGTTACCAACATGTTCTTTAGTTCTTATGCGCAGCAGAATTGTAAATGGGCTGATTTATCGATGTCATGCTCATACTGTGCCGAACAACATAGGCGGCCTTAGGGAACTGCTGCTTTTTCTTTCCTCATCCTGAATATGGTCATTTTCCCTCTACTTCTTGTGTATTTGTCACACTCTTGTGAACTGTTATTTCCGGGGTGCCTTGATAGCCGAAGTAGACTTTGTGCTGTTGAGGCAAGAGAGGTGAGCAGAGTAAGCCTGATTCCCCGTTTGGACTTCTCTGTTGATATCCACCCCTTGGCGCTCAGTGTGTGGCTCTGAGAAAACCCTTCACAAGGTGCAAAATTTCAAAATGAACTTTTTTGCATATTTTAAAAGACACATCTTTTCCGAGCATTTTGCACTTTATTTGAAAGCAATTGGAGCATTCTGTGAAAAGTTATGGCATTTTAAAGCGAACAGGAGTTCGAGTGTCAAATTTTGAGACAACAGGTTTTAAAGTTTTGCTTACTTTGGGAACACATTTTCCATGATGACAATGCATAGAAGCAAATAAACAGTTTGCTTTTTATTTTAGAGAAATACCTCTCTTCTATGTGAAGTTATGACTGATTTTATGTTACAACAGTAAATCATTGAATTACGTAAAAACGCGTCAAAAAAATATTATGCTCCTCTCGTGTCATACCAGCAAAAGACAAACGCAGGTCGTCAAAAGCAGTTGATTCGAACTGGCTGTCGCAAGGCAGGCCATCATTGAGCTTGCAGAAGCACTTCAGGCCCTTCAACTTCGCAAAGCTGTCTGCTCCACACCCTTACCTTCTGGCACCACAAAGGCTGTCACTGTCACGTTCTCTATGAAGGCCACCCCTAAGGCATCATCCTCGTCTGTAGATACAGAAATTAAAAGAGAGCGATTTAAAGGTGTGCAGCTTGCATATAATGAAATTTATAGTGTTGTACACCACTGTATTTAAATGACCACTATTAGTTCAAACAAACCAGTGATTAATGATCACCAATTGAGGATAATTTGCTCCGTGATCCCTTTACAGTTGACAGCTTGCAACAAGAAGCCAGAATTTTTGTCCATCATTCTGTCACCTCTTGTTTTCGTTTTGCATCGCTGTATTTTTATATGGACCTACTCAGTTTAAGAAATTCACTTTCATGTGACGACAAGTTTGTGACAGATCATCACTGCGATAGTGCAGCATCTCTCTTTTCTTGGTTCTTTTCAAGTCAAATAATTAAAGAGTATGTATTCAGAATAGATATGAGCTTTTGCCAAAAGGTGGGGGTGTTTGCATGAGGACTTTTTAAATCAACCACTACTCGTGGTAAAATATGTTTTCTTCATCGGTTTCCGATGAGAACCCACCATCGGCGCGATGATGGATACCACTTACCATCGGTTTCCGATGACAACCCACCATCGGCACGATGATGGATACCGACTTACCATCGGTTTCCGATGACAACCCACCATCGGCACGATGACTAGATCTAGTCAAGTGTCTAGTTAGTCTAGTCTAGTCTAGTACAATCTTGATCTAGATTCTAAGTCTAAAATAACGTTGACAGACTTGGTCTCGTTCCAAGAGTTAAGCTACCGTATAGTGATAGATCTAGTCGATCTAGATCTAGATCTAGCTCCTCCAATTCTAATACACTGCTAGAGGTAGGATAGAATCTAGAAGAATACGCAGTTCTTTAATCTAGAATCTAGCTGATAATTATAAGGACTAGTATAGTAGCTGAGACTGCGGGTATGGTAAACTTTGCTTACCTTCTGATGATGTTATGCCAATTGGTTGAACAGGAATCAGGACTTCTTCTTCATGAAGTTCCAGATTCCATATCATGGTCATGAGCAGGGGGGTGTGGGTGTGTGTGGGTGTGTCACGGCCACGGTCGTCATCGTAATTGGTTCATCATGTGTCTCCTCCTCCAAACTAGAATCTACTGTCTTCACAATCAATAGGTCTTGCATTGAAATAATCAATAATCAGTTCATCCAATTCATTTTCGTCTGTGATTTGTCTCATTCCAATCCGACTGAGATCGTTCCACATCGATGAAACACAATGTATGTACGCCACTCAGCTGATCGATCCGCAATCTTGAATCAATTAAATTATGTAAACAAAAGCGCTCGACCACTTGGAAACAGAAAACAATCAGTTTACTTACAGTAAACTCGGAAAAAAACACTTCGTAGAGCAGAACAAAGAACTTAAAGTCAATAAGGAACAGTTCATATTTGGTTTGAACGGCAGGAAATGGTACATTAGATGTTAAACTGCATTCATGACAAATACTATTTCAGAAGTGAAACCTGTGAAACTACAACATGCGCAACTCACAGAACTATTTGTAATGTTCACACATTCATGCGCACTGGGTTTTCCCGAAACGGCAATTAAAATTAATTCTCTTTCTTTTGGTATATAATATGTGAGGGTTCCCGTGGAAAGAAGTGTCTATCCGATTGAGTAAATATTCCCCCTGTTTGTCTAAGAATTCAGCGTAATACGGCGACGATATGTCCTCAAAAATAATTATTTTAAAATATTTCCAATCCCTTTTGAGCAAATTTCTTAAAACATATGATGTAGAAATGGTCTATCTTTCTGAATTTCATATAATTTCGTTTTCGATAAAAATGAAGTTCAGGGCCTATTTTTAGCGATATCTCAGAGTAGCTCTCGCACCTTCCGACGGGTTTTCTCAGAGCCGCTCACATTCTCACAATGACCCTATGCAGTTGCGAGCGCCGTAAAACCTTACTAAAACTAAACTAACACTACTTAGATCATTTGGGAGGAAGGCTTCAACCACACCTGTCAGTGCCAACCCGGGCTGAGAGGGATATATATAACAACCCAGCAGAAAGACAGATACTCGGTAAAAAATTATCCCAACTCGTTTTAGCTTAGTAAGTTTCACGGCACTTGAAACACTATAAGGTCATATAAGTGCAGAAGATAAGATGTGTTACAAGAGAGTAACAAATATAAAAAGCGTTTGATAGGAAAGAAGGAGCAAAACCACACCAGAGCACCCACCAACCACCAGTGACCCACCTCCTAACTTGGAAATCGAACTTGGGTCTCCTGCATGCGATGGCAAAGCGCCTTGCCACTACATCAAAGGCAACGTTTCCATTAAAATTTCCCACTGTAGTCACAAAAGACTCAAAAAGGAATAAAACACACAACAATAAAATCTGTACCAACCCCCCCCCCCCCCCCCCCACAAGGCATGTGGTTACAAAAAGGGACCTATATGACGCAAAAAAATAATTGAAGCTCACAAACATGGCAACAGCAAGAGCTAAGCACAATGTGGAACACACACACACACACACGCGCGCGCGCGCGCACACACACACATGCGCACACACACACACACAAACACACACACACATGCACACAAGAAGAAGAAAACGCAGTGAGCAACATTTCACATGGTGGTTTATTGTGGAAATCAATCCAGTCTTTAACATTCGTCATAACTTACAATGCACAAGAGCACACACTTCAGTGAGAAATACAGACTCACTTTCACCTGTCATATATATATCAACAGAACCTAAGAAATAATCATTTAAAAAAACACCAGAAATTACCTTATTGAGAAGAGCAGTAACAGTAAACTATCCCTACTACTGTAATCACGTTATTGCTTTGTTACGTCATCATTGTATAGCCATGAAGAAACTGCCTTTTTCTTTTCTTTTCTTTTTCCATTAGCTCTACGACACATGAGGATAATATTTCAAAACTATCAAATTCATTTTTTGGGGTTCAGACTCCTACGACCAAAAGCTTAGAAACGATTTCGTTTCAATAACTTTGTGTTCACTTTCAAAAGAGTACAGTATGAATCACTAAGTTCTTACATGTGATGGTTTAATAAATACCACAAAGCCAAATTCTTTTGATCTTGAAGAGAAACACATTACTCTATACAATTTACTAGTAAACTAGAGAAATAAACATTCTTTTTGCTGTAGTAGCCACTAGCATCTTTAGAAGGTGTCAAAACGCAGGAGAAGTGTTTGTTGGTTAGTATCTACTGACTCCACTCTACATCACCACCTTTCTTCAGTTTTCTTCAGTACGCGAAGAAAAACCTTACAAATTTCTACTCACGATCAGACACCAGAAACCTCAAGCTGAACTCAGCAGAATACCATTTACTCTTAACAGAAATACATTGTAGTACTTGTACAGTAGTGTGCATTTCATTCTTAATTTTTAAAATTATTGCGATAAGATTTTTAAAAGTTTATCTTAAGAAAGGTTATATTTATATTAACTACTGTAGATAAAGGAGAAAAAAAATACTTGTAATGTGGATTTCGTTCTTAATAAACTAACTGTGATGAGATTTTTA